ATATTTTTTATAAAAATTATGATAAAAATCAATATTTTTTAATATTAATATTTTTATAAAATAAAAAATAATATTTATAATAGTATCTATTTATTATAAGATAATTAAAAAAATTAATATAAAAAAAAGACAACAAAAAGACAAAAAAAAAAACAAAAAGTGAAATGATAACCTAACTATAGGAGTGACATTAGTATAAGATGGGGTGCCATTAGCCTTCCCCAAATATTAATGTCAGTACTTTCTCTTGTCATTTCCTTAACTCGATTAATTGACGGATAATTATTATGCATTCAACTTCATTACTATCAACACTTTAGTTTCATACAAATAGATTAATTCGTTAGTTCTTTTCTTTCTCTTAATCATGTTTAGCATTCATAACAATTTGACGGGATAAAAAGTATTTTCCTTGTTATCTTCATTGGTTTTTTCATTTGTATTTTTCTTTCATCTGTCATTATCTTTACTTGTGATAGATTAAAAACGATGTCAAAAGGGAGACAAACTTAAAGATTATTACCAAAGAATACCGACAACAGTCAGGGTGCACCATTGAATGTGCTCAGAAGATCAAGTCACTATGGAGATGTTACTTTCAACCTTTTTCTATTCAATAAATCACACAAGCTTTTTATAGAAACATCATCGTCATCGTCATCATCATCATCAACAGTACTCTCCATTTTTTTATTAAGACAAATATGACATGTTTAATTTGTAATCATGTCATTACTAAACATATGTTAAGAACTTCCATTCATTTATATTTTCTTTAAAGAAGACATATTTCAAGTTTGCAGTTATGTTTTAATTTGAACAACGGAAATAAACTTTAATCGTAGTACACTAAATTAATCTGACAATTAAGAATAACTAGTGCTCGGCACCGTGCAAAAGTAATATACAAAAAATAGTGAACCACATCAATATCCTATGCTTCAAAATTGAAAATACTAAATTTTCATAGTACATTTGTAACTCTTCCAATATTTAAAGTCATCCTTCTCGTTTCATATACTTGACTCTTTTTCAGTAATTTCTTTTCTCATTAATATGGATTAAGATTCAAGTAAAATTCAACCACAATTAATGATTTGAAAATATTAAATTCTAATTTGTCACATCAATATCTTATAACATTATATATTAATTTAATTAATTAATTACTTTAACTTTTAATATAGATTTTTTTTGTAAAAAGAGGATTAGCCAAAAATCCTATGTTAGAAAAGTCAGCCAAATAAGCTAAACACCATGAGTTTAGAGAATTATTCAAGGGGAGTCAGCCCAATAGATTGCCACAGAGACATCCCAATATTCTTTTATATATCTATCATTCAGTGTCAATCTTATATCTACCTATCACTATGAGATAGACAAAACTAATCACAATTCAAGATTAAATAATACTCAATCTTAAGATGTCACATTGATGGTTATGGTTCTTACTTTTAAATATAGAAAGAATAAAGATTATATATATAACTGATTTTTAATATTGATTAACTCTTCTTTCAAAAAGAGAGTTATCCAAAATGAACCAAGCCTATGTGTTCGGAGAGTCGGCCAAAATGCTCTAACCACAGGTGTTCAAAGAATCAACCAAGAGGAACAAACCTCATGAGTTGTCACAAAGGCATCTAGACCTCTTTTTACATATCCAATATTTTTGTCAATCTTTCAACTCTCAATCAGTGTGGGATATATATAACTCAATCACAATTTAAGATTGAAGAATATTCAATTGTTAGGGTGCCGCATCAATGGTTCCACTTTTTACTTTAAAAAACATATTAAAATTAACCCTTCAATTAATATTTAGTGTAGATTAATTTTGTCACAAAAAAAGGTTGGCCAAAATGAGTCAACCGCATATGTTTGGAAGTTCAGTCAAAATGATCAAAGCACGTGAGTTTAGACAATTGCTAGTGAGTTTAGACAATTGTTCCAAACATTTATGTTGCAAAAGAGTGTCATCCAAATAAGTTAACTTTATGAGTTAAGCCTCTTGAGTTGACGCAATGAATTTCATTCTTTTTTTCTTATACACATCTCTTTATTCCAATCTTCAATCTTTCATCAAAGTGGGATATCTCAAATTCAACCACAATTCACCAACACTTCAATACTTAATTCTCATGATGCACCTAATTACCTCTTGGTTTTTCTTTATATATATGATTTGTTTTGAAAAAATAGGGTCATCCAAATAAGATAACCTTATGACTCAAGCATCATGAGTTGATATACAATATAAGATTTGTTTTAAAAAATTAGGGTCATCCAAATAAAATAACCTTATGAGTCAAGTCTCATGAGTTGAAACAATGACTCTCATCATGCTTTCTTATACACACCTTATTATTTCAATCTTTCAATCTCTCACCAATGTAGGATACCTCAAACTCAACCATAATTCATCAACACCACAATACTCAAATCTCATGATGTCACCTCAATACTCTTGGTTCTTCCTTTAATATATATATATATAGTCGTTCTTTTTTTTCTTACACACATCTATTTATTCCAATCTTCAATCTTTCATCAAAGTGAGATATCTCAAATTCAACCACAATTCACCAATACTTCAATACTTAATTCTCATGATACACCTAATTACCTCTTGGTTCTTCTTTTAATATATCTATACTATATTATAAAGCATTTGGCTAAAACTCTTAAAACTCTTAAAAACTCTTAAAACTTTTAAAAACTCTTAAACCAGATTTCATCCCTATCCGATTTCATCCCATATCTGAATTCGTGTAACTAACTGCAGATAAATACAATCAAATACATGATAAACATCTAATTTTAAATATAAAAAATCTAAAATATAATTAGGATAATCATTGAGTTCTAACAGAATACATAATTATTATCTTTATAAAA